AAAGGCATCTTTAACATGACTCCTGATAAAAGACATATATTAGTCCACAATTATTTCCTCAGAGGATAAAATTGGATATACAGTTTAGGTCAATTGGCACATCACACTCCTAAAGTATAGCTCTAGGACTTTAACCCGTGTTTCTAACTTCCAAGAATTTCATTCATAACACTGTTACATACTGTCTCTTGATGGAGTAACTCTGTCTGCTTATCTGTTTATCTATCTTTGGTCTCTTTCTTGCTAAGTGATTAATAACTGTTTTTGACATATTTAAATATGAACAGTAGAAAACACTATACAATAACTTTTGGAAAATATACCAAGATTGATTCACTGTTTCTCCTCATTTAAATTCACATTCTCAGAAAAATATAAAAGTGATAAGTTCTTTAAAATACTGTAGATGCCAAAACTAATAGACCGTAATATGCCCAACATAAGAAAATCAGTGTAATTCTGTCACTAAATCTCAAGAACTTCATCTTCTGCCTAAGTTCATAAGCACAAGAAGTTGCTTCTAAATAAATCTCCCTGGTTGTCTAGCGTTCTGGAAAGTGAGGCATGGTGGTACAATTCATAGAACTGAGCACTTTGGTCCTTTAAGATTTTTGTCGCTAGAACACGGAGAGAAGGACATAAAAGTAGAGAGTTGAGTCTTATGGGGACACCTGCACCACAGTGGACAGCTGCGGAACACAGCACACTGTCCACCCAGAATGACTGGCAGCTGAAGCACAGCACTGGTGTGCTGAGGCTGAGGAGGAAATGGCTGTGGCCTCCCTTTCTCAGCCAAAGGTGTTTCACATCTAAGTGATGCCAAAGAACACTGGAAAATAATCAGGAGAGTGAGTAAATTCAAAAAGACAGGGCTGAACTTACCTCTAAGCACAATAAAGTTTGTGACTTCAACCGTTATGCCAAAACAGAATTTTTGCTTTTGCAAGTACGTTTGTGGTTCTGAAGTTTAAGTATAGCACACAAGAGAATATCCTTGCCACCCTCTTTACTCTCTTTCTTAGTGATTTAGGAGCTCCAATTGGCATTTTAACCCATCATTAATACCACAGTCTCCTCTTCTCCTAGACATATGGAAAATGACATTTTCCTGCTGCCTTGGAGTTTGACGTGGCCATGCTTTGGGCAATCATGTGAGCAGAGGGATGTGAATCATTTTCAGGCAGAAACATTTAATTGTGCATTTGAGAATCTCCTGTATTCTCTTCGGTTTAACCGTGACTATAAGTTTCTGAGGTTGTGGGTTGTAATTATATCATTACTTAGTTTAACCCAAATCATCCACAGGTCAATCACTTTTGTAGAAGCTACTGTCTTTATAGCTGAAGCTCTTTCTGATACCAACCCAAATTAGACAAAAGCTTTTTGTGAAATATCATTTCCATAATTAAAACAGGTAGAGAGAGAAAGTGGGCAGATTGTGGTGTTTATTATCCTAGATACTGAGAGCCTAGGAGAAAAGCAAGGCACTGCAAGGCAATGTGATCAGCAAATGTTGTATGCTAGCTTTTCATTCTCCAGTTGTGTAAATAGAGCAATTTACAGACTGCTTTACATGACCCTAAATATCTGTCCTCAGCTCAGAAATTTTTGTTGAGAAGTCCCTCCTCCCAAGAATCATAGGAAGAAAATAATGGCAACAAAGAGTATCTGGCCATGCTATTAATATGTAAGAGTTCAATAAGATCATTGAAATATACTTTACTTTTCCAGTAAAGAACTATACTGAAAATTTTACTAAAGGAAGAGGAGAAGGAAGGAAAAAAAATAGCAGGTAATTAAAGGAATTTCCAGGAAGAATCTGACATAAAACAAAGATATTGTATGTCTTATGAATGTTTCAGGCACTGATATAGAGGCTGGAGAAAGATCTGTGAATAGACAACACCACATCTTTTTGTTCTTATGTAAAAAATTGCTTTTTGGGGGGAGAAATGTGGGTGATAATTTCACATAAGCAGCAGAGGAGGCAAAATAATGATATAAAAGGGAAAACAAAATATGAACTATGTAATACACACAATGATAACTATAGAAAGAAATAAAACTGGTAATATGAGCAAGAATGGGAAGGCACCAGGGCATTCTGATGTACACTTGGTAGAAGGAAAGACTAAGGACCTGTCAAAATGGAGAAAGTTAATTGAGATGCAGATGGTAGGAAGGATTCAGTGTCACTGTGGTGAGACTCATGGTTACACTAGAGGTGAGGGAAACTTTTTCATGTACCTGCAGTGTTCTGAAGCTATAAGGAATGATAGGGAAGACATGAAACTGGAAACTGACCCTTGTGCCAAATGGTTGCAACAGTGTGATGAGGGCCTCATGAAGTTTCGTTTAGAAAATGTGTAGAAATCATGAACTGTCTTTTGATCCAAACAAATTAAATATATTTAGGTATATTTTGTAAAGAGATACACATTTTACACTTCAATGTATTTAAACGGGTTTTTCTTAACGAGATAGGGAACACTTGTGTTTGACCCCCACAGAGGAAGCATCATTGAATTTACTGTATCGACCTATACATGGCATCTGAAGCTGTTCAGTATCAAGCTTTTCCATCTCTATGAACTGACTGCAAACGCTTCCTGTCCAGAGCCCAGAGCTCTGTCTCTGCACTATGATTTCCATGAATTTGTCATTGCATGTTTAATACCTAGTCATGGAAAGACTTGGTAGGCTAAATTTGGTAGTTCATAGTTTATTCTGACTGTCATAAAGCCACCAGTAAATTTCAAGTTGGGAAGAATTTGTTTTCAATGGACAAACAAATCTATATTTTAATAACGACCATGGCTGCTTTGTGATAAAGAGATTAGTAAAAGGCAAAAAATTGTACGAAGCTAACCAGTTTGAAGGCTGTTGTAAAGATTACAAATGTTAATTTTATAAGTATATTAAGAAATAAAGAAATGACTAATATTTGTGTGCCCAACCAGTTATTGAGATAAATTTAATAGAATATATACAAAAATAAAAGTGTTGATACAAAATAAATTTGCAAGTCTTGAATTAAAAATCTATTATAAAGATAAAGCTTTATATTAAAACAAAGCCAGAAAAAGTAGAAATGGGATAAAGGGATAAATAGAGCAAGGTAGGCATGGTGGCATTCACCTTAATCCCAGCACTTGAAATTGAGGCAAGAGGAGCAACAGATATCCTGGGCAACTTAGCAAGACCTTGTCTTTTAAAAAATCAGGAAAAATAACAGTAGTTATCTTGCCATCTTTTTGTTTATTTTTGTAGACTGATAGTTTATATATTATTTTAATCGCCTCTAATGAAGACACTGCTTCTCGAGGACATGACGGATGAGTTACCAGTGGTGAACATTACTGTACTGCTTAAGCCATTGGAAGTGGCTGCATGAGTGGAAACACCCTTTTCCATGCTGAACACTTGTGAGTTTCTTCTAGTAAAAGTCAGTGCCTTATACCAAGACATGGGAACCACCACCTCCAAACTTTAACACAGGAAGCAATAAAGCTGAAAAGCCCAAACCATTGTGTAAGCAAACAAAATCAGTCCTATCAGAGGTTAAGTCTAGTCACATCTGTGCCATTACCAGATGTCCAAGCACTGATGGACATCACTCACCCAAGGGTCCATCCCACCCAAACTCTTGCAATCCCTCCTCATCAACTTACCATTCCACAGACTATCAGGGTGATCCTTTGGGATTCTGAGCAGAAGAGTTCCATTTTTGAATTTTCTTAGACTTTTTATATTTTGTCCTTTGCCTCACATTAATTTTCTTTTCACCTTTCAAATCATCTTTATTATAGTTTCAAGGACATCAATTACTCAGTTAATATTTCATTTGTTTCCATTTGAAGTCTCAGAGCTTGCCATGGTAAACACTGCCTTCATTATCAAACTGCTATGTAAGAACATTACAATATACAAACTGTTAATTACGATAGTATTTACTGAACTCAGATTAGTGCACTAAAACAACATTGATTTAAAAAGGCAAGTGGGTTAACTGGCAAACATCCAATTCCTTTTCCAATGCAGGATGGTACGAAATGGCACTCAGTGTAAATACGAAGATTTAAGTGTTAGGTGCTCACAAAGTGTAACTTTGGGAAAGTTATTTCCTTAAAGTAAGTAAGACTCATATAATCATTATTCTGTAGGACACAAAGGAAAGTAAAGAACGATCCACAAAACCAGTATTGTTAAGAAAGTTTAGTGGAATAGCAAATTGCAATCCTTAGAAGCCAAACAGATATTGGTATGGATTTTTATCCTCTTTCTCCAAATTACCTTAAACATTCATAGTAACCACAGTTTCCCTCATAAACATCAGACTTAAGTAGACATATACAAAAGCAATCTACCCTTCCTAGTGTTTTTACCATGCAATCTACAGCAAATGCTTAGTATGTACACATCAGGTGCATGAGGTACACTAAGAAATTATTCACTGACTTTATTTAGAGAAAACAACGGTCTTCAAAGAAATCCAACAATAAGGGTGAAATAATCTGTGCAGTTGTGAACCAGAGAAAACACACAGCTATGTTAACATATTTAAGTTATTGAGAATATTTTCTCTGCTGGCCAAACCAAAATTAAATTTAAGATTTTTAATTAAAATAACACAAGTCTGGGGGCAAGTTACACAGGAACAGAGTGATACGCAGATCACACACAACTTTAAATTTACTAATTCCAAAAACTAAGTGAAATAAGGTAAATAAATTATAGATGAAGGCATAAACAATATGGGAAAAAACTTAACAGGTATTAAATCATAAAGCATGGAAGTTAAGCCAGCACTGGTATTTAAAAAGATGTTCAGTATTAGACAATATCATATTTAACCCAAAGAACCTCCCCCCAATAAAAATAACAAAGTATGGGTTCCATACTTTATGCAACAACTTTAAAATAACAATAAAAACATGATTACAGAAATTGTCCTACATAATTCAGGTAATTGTAGTGCACTGATATGCTTCCTTATGACTTTAGCCTTTTAATCTCCACATGATGAGTCTGATAATTACAATTCCAATGACAAGGATAAAAATGATGATGCAGAGGGATTTCTGGATTTGCGCTGATAATCTGCCGCTCTCTACAACTGCTGATTTGCCTGTTGAACATGTACCTCTGCACTTTCTATGTTGGCTTCTATGCTATCAATCACATCTCCTTGTTCATGTACCATCATTCCCAAGTCTTTAAATATTTCATTAATATCCATAATATCACCTTCAAGTTGCCTGATAGAAGACTCTCTCTCATGAATGAGGTGGAGGTCATCCTCTGTAATTTCTTCATCCTATACCTGCACCTGAAGTTGTGTTTGACTTTCCCAGGATACAAGATTCCTTTCTTTTGAGCTGTCCTCAGGAAAACTGCCAGATACTCTGGAACTGGCTCTTACTTGAGCAACAAACTCTTTCTCTCTATCAGCAGCTTGTCTCTGGACTTTCTGAAAATTTGTCAGTGATGTTGTGAATTCAACCACTAAATGATCCTTCTGTATTTTCCTTTGACACTGTTCACTGTGGGTGGTGGGCAGAGATCCAAACTCTTTAATGTACTTATCTGTTTCTTTGGCAAGTTGGTTAGTATACTGCTGCTTCTGTTGCAGCTGTTGCCTCAATTCAGGTGAATCTTGAGGTGTTCCAAGTTGATTCAGAGTCCTTTGTATTTCCACAGAACACTGTGTGATCTTCTGGATGTTGGAAGAGATGTGTTGGGCCAACTGGCCGGGTCCCCACCAATCCTGGGAGTGTAAGACATGGCTGATTCGCTGATTCACTAATTTCATCAGATGTTGGTGGGCTGTGTGGTTTTCTAAGCAGTCACCCTGACCACCTTAGTTGGCTTTCTCCTCCTGCTCCTCCTCCTCCGGCCACAGTCACTCACAGGGTCTCAGAACCCACAGCAATTCTTCGCATTAATTTTTCTTAACTCTACAATCATGTGTAAGCACTCATGGATTTTAAAAAGAAACAAACATCTAACTTTGCCTAGTGTTCAGGCCATTTTAAATAAGAGTCCCTAGATGTGGGTGCTGTACATTAGTAATTTTAAAGTACTCTTAGGTGTGTAGAATGTACTTCCAGAAAAGTTAGACTCTAAAAAAAAAATGCTCCCAGAGAACCACCAATGTCCTTTCTTTCTTTACGAATGTTTGCATTTCTGTAAGGATTCTTTGGAAAGAAAATGTTAAGATGTATACTCTTTTGCTGGTTTATTTCACTTGAAATAATTATTTTAAAATTCACTTATATTGTATCTTTCTACTTTGTTTATTGGTTCACTGCTTCACAAATATTTGGCTTGTTTCCAGCTTAAGGAAGTTTACAAATAAAGCTTCTGTAAAAATTGGTGTACAGAGAAAAATAAAGGATGGTAGGAAGGAAGAAAGGAAAGAAGGGAAGGAGGGAGAGAGGGAGAAAAAGAGCTAGAGAAAGAAAAATTTCTTCAGAGGTCAAGCTTCCTCTAGAAGCCCACTGTGTACTGTGGACTTGAAGTTCTGCTCTTCAATAACACAGTTATTAGAGCCAAGAGGCTGAGCATGTGTCCTCGTTGCTCACATCAAAGCTTGTAGACATGACTCCTCTCTCTTTTAAAAGAAAAACAAATGGTTCTTTGAGTTATATTTTGTCTCTGTGAACCACTGCGCCTCAAACTTTAATGTGAATAATACAATATATTTGTTAAAGTGCAGGGCAGACTGGATCATTAGACCTGGAACAGACCCGCACTAATCCCAAGAGATTAGTCCATAGGTCCACAGAACACTGCTGAGAAGCACAGATTCTCAACTGAGACTTAGATTCTCAGCTGAGAGTGAGCTTCTTGTTCATAGTCTTACTTTCTCATCTCCTCTTATCAATACTAATATCAATATCTTACACTCAATGATCTTTCCTCTTCTTCACCTAAATACTTGCAACTTATTCGTAAGAAACAAGACTACTTTTGATGTCTTTATTTTTGGTGAGAGGTACTGGCAGTACTGGGGTATGAACACAGGGTTTTATGGTTGCTAAATTGGCACTGTACCATGGAAGTGATGACTCCAGGCTGGTATCTCTATTTTAAATATCTGTTTGTCATCCTCTTTCCCATGCACACGATGTTCCCATGTCCTTACAGTTCTCCTGTTTTATGTTGTATGCTCACTGTCCTAAGTCCATGAATTCATCAAGACACTGAGCAATTCACTCCCATAATTCTCTTACAAGGGCCCTGCATAGTGATAGTGTCAGGTGATTTTAACAGAACCTAAAGTGTACAGACCCAGCAAGGAAACAACCTTCTCTGTTGGGATAGAATTTGAAATAAGAAAAAAGGGTAGAGAAAGGATGAAAAATGTTTGAGTCTGTTTTTATTCGGATGGATTTCAGGTGTCCCTTACTTAATTCCCAGTCTTGTTCTTAATTTTAGTGATTGACTTTCACTAAGTATTCATATCTCCATTTTTACTACTTCTTTTATTTTCATGAGTGTTTCATTAGAAATTGGAGAGAATTTCAAGGTCATCAAAATACAAAAATGCAGAAATAATAGTAGTCCTTTAGTAATAATTTAGGGCATTTTTTAGAGATGAGTGACTAGACAATGTATACAGGGAAGTGACCATCCCTGGAATACATTCATTTCATCAAAGTCTAATATATAATGACCTGCATTTTCTTAGTCCATTTCATGTTCATTTAATTCTGCCCTTCTGAATTTACATATGTACAATGAACTTCTGTAGTGATTTTGGAATGTGAACGATTTTATTCATTTTTGATTATCAGTCTTCCTGATTATTCTATAGTTAATTTATTTTTTTATGACTACAGAAAATACAATAAAATCACTAAATTAAATATAAAAAAACTTACAACATACCTTTTACCTAATACATTTAAAATGATTTAATCTACTGTAAACCTCCTTAGAAGAAAAGAATCAACCTGAACCTCCACGTGTACTTTTTTACCTTCATTGTGTTTCCAATATAGGCAGGTCTTCCAGGACAGGGATCTAGTTGAGCTTCAGCAATAGTTATGACTTAGCTGTGGATTGGTAGATATAACAAGATGAAAGTATTAAAAGACTTCACAAGAAAATTTGATGAATTAGACTTGATAAGTACCATATATTAATCAATTTGAAGTCTTATCTCCTGCAAGTAACTACCTTAATTTATTACAGGGAAATACAAACATGTTTGGTCTCAGCATCATTTAACAATATGATAGCAAATTATTTTGGATTCAGTTCTCACATACAGTGAGCCATCTTTTGATTACAGAATTTTACATTACAAAATGTGAACTGAGGGTGATCCAAAATGGCAACTGGGACACAGACTCAGGCTGTGTGAGCTCTGGGAATCAGGGACTTTGCTGAGACATTGGAGACATGCTTGGCTGACGTAAAGCACAAGGGAGAGCTGAAACTTCAACACCCTGAACCCTAGCCCATTGAAGGCTTCTCCACCTCACGATACACTGAAAGAACAGGCAGGCTGCACTCCCACGCAGCCACCACCCACATGCTGGCCCGCCAGGCTCCCGACCAGCAGGCCCACCAGGTCACCCCACACCGGCCCTCCAGGCTGCTGTCCCCCTAGGCCACCAGCCAACTGGGCTGCCACCCACCACAGGAGGGTTCCAGCACCACCAGACACTGGCTTTAAACAGCCTAGGAGACACAGACAAACAGGACTGGATGCTAAAGGAGTAACACCAGAACTACTAAGACTGAAATTCTCCTGTTCCTGAACTGGGGATTATTTTTATTTCTGTTTTTTTTTTTTCCTTTTCTGTAAGTTTTTATATGTCCTGGTTGCTGTTTGATTGTTTACCATCTCTCCTAGTTCATTTCTTTGCCTTTTCTTTTTTTCTCTTTCTTTCTTTTTCTTTTTTCCTCCTTCTTTCTTGGTTTTGTTAGTTTTACTATTGTAAGTTAGCTAATACTAAATTATATGACCAGGAATGGAAGCAGTACCAAGTGGAATGATGGGAAGACAAAAAAGGGAAAGAAAGCATTCTCCCCCAGAAAAAAAAATTAGCACAGGAATCACAGGAAAATGAAAAAAACAGAAGCCCAGATCCAGACTCCAACAAAACGAAGACAAAATATGACAAGGAACCCAATGAAGCCCACAAGAACACCCTGAAAGAATAAATTCTGCAAGTAATCAATGATAATTTCATAGAGATGTTACTAGACATGGTCAACCAAAATGTACATGAGGCACTTAACAAATTCCAAGACAACAAAAATACAGAATATGAGAAAACACAAAAACAAATAAATGAAATCACAGGAGCCCTAAATAAATAACAAAGTGAAACAGAGAAAACCATAAATAGAGAGAGAAATGAATTAAGGACTAAAATTGACAATATTAAAGAGGAAGTCACCCATGATATGTAAAACCTCAGAAAACAGAATGAAACAGAAATACAAAACAAAATGGAAGGCCACTCCAACAGACAAGAACAAGCAGAAAATAGAATCTTAGAATTTGAAAATGAAATGGTAATTATAGGAAAAACTTAAGAACTATTAGTCAGACAACTCAAGTCCTGTGAAAGGAATAGGTAAGAATTAACTGACTCCATCAAAAGACCAAACCTGGGAATCATGGGCATTGAAGAAGGAGAAGAGGTGCAAGCAAAAGGAATTAGTAATATATTCAACAAAAATAACAACAGAAAATTTCCCAAATCTAGAAAAGACTATGCCCATACAGGTACAGGAAGCCTTCAGGACACCAAACAGACTTGACCAAAATAGAATTACCCTATGACATATTATCATTAAAACAACAAGCACCAGGAATAGAGAAAGAATATTGAAGGCTGTAAGAGAGAAAAAAAAATAACATATACAGGTAAACCCATCAAACTTACTACAATTTCTCAATGGAAACCTTTTAAAAAAAGAAGAGCATGAGTGAGTTCTTCCAGGCACTGAATGAAAATAACTTCAACTCTATCAAAACTATCATTCAGAATACCAGCAAAACTATCATTCAGAATAGATGAAGCAATAAAAGCCTTGCATGATAAGCAGAAACTAAAACAGTATCTTACCACCAAGCCACCATTACAAAAGATTCTTCAAGGAATTCTGCACACATAAAGTGAAAGCAAAAACAACTATGAAAGGACAGGGAGTACCAAACTGCAAGAGAAGAAAAGGCAAGAAAGTAGAGAGTAATATTGATTTAGCTGTACACAATCAAACCCTTAAACAACTAAGACAATTAAATGACAGGAATCACCACATACCTATCAATACTAACACTGAAAGTTAGCAGACAAAATTCCTCCATCAAAAGACAAAGCCAGGCAAACTGGATTAAAAAGGAAGATCAAACAATCTGTTGCTTACAAGAGACCTGTCTTATCAACAGAAACAAGCACTGTTTGATGGTGATAAGCTGGAAGAAGATTTATCAAGCCAGTGGTCCCCAAACACAGGCAGGGGTAGCAATACTTATCAAAGACAAAATAGACTTCAAACTTACATTGATCAAATGAGATAAAGAAGGACACTCAATACTAATATAAGGGGAAATACACTAAAAGGAAATAACAATTATCAACCTATATGCACCCAATGTCAGTGCACCCAGTTTCATCAAACATACCCTGAAAGACCTAAAAACATATATAGACTCCAACACAATGGTAGTGAGAGACTTTAATACCCCCCATCACCAATAGATAGCTCAAAAAATCAATAAAGAAATGCTAGAAATAAATCAAACCATAGATCTAATG